GGATGTGGGAGTTGTTACACACGGGGTTGGGTAGTTGTTACACACGGATGTTGGTTGTTGTTACACACGGGATGTGGTAGTTGTTACACACGGGAAGGTGTGTTGTTACACACGGTATGGTGGTGGTTGTTTTCACACGGGATGTGGTAGTTGTTACACACGGGATGGGTGGTAGTTGTTACACACGGGATGCTGGTAGTTGTTACACACGGGATGTTGGGAGTTGTTACACACGGGATGGTGGTAGTTGTTACACACGGGATGGGGTGGTTGTTACACCGGGATTGTGTAGTTGTTACACACGGGATGGTGGTAGTTGTTACACACGGGAAAGCTGGGGAGTTGTTTTCATACGGGATGGTGGTGGTTGTTACACACGGGATGCTGGTAGTTGTTACACACGGGATGTGGTAGTTGTTACATACGGGATGGTGGTGGTTGTTAACACGGGATGGTGGTAGTTGTTACAAACGGGATGGTGGTAGTTGTTACACACGGGATGGGGGTGTTGTTACACACGGGGTGGTGGTAGTTGTTACACACGGGATGCTGGTAGTTGTTACACACGGGGTGCTCGTAGTGTTTACACACGGGATGGTGGTAGTTGTTACACACGGGATGCTGGTAGTTGTTACACACGGGATGGTGGTAGTTGTTACACACGGGATGGTGGTAGTTGTTACACACGGGATGGTGGTAGTTGTTACACACGGGATGCTGTAGTTGTTACATTTCGGGAAAGGTGGTGGTTGTTACACACGGGATGCTGGTATTGTTACACACGGGATGGTGGTAGTTGTTACATACGGGATGGTGGTAGTTGTTACACACGGGATGGTGGTAGTTTTTACACACGGGATGGTGGTAGTTGTTACATACGGGATGGTGGTAGTTGTTACATACGGGATGGTGGTAGTTGTTACACACGGATGGTGAGTGTTACCACGGATGTGGGAGTTGTTACAACACGGGATGCTCGTAGTTGTTACACACGGGATGGTGGTAGTTGTTACACACGGGATGCTGGTAGTTGTTACACACGGGATGGTGGTGGTTGTTACATACGGGATGGTGGTAGTTGTTACACACGGGGATGGTGGTAGTTGTTACACCCCGGGATGCTGGTAGTTGTTACATACGGGGTGGTGGTGGGTTTTTACAAAACGGGTGCTGGTAAATTGTTACACACGGATGGTGGTAGTTGTTACATACGGGATGGTGGTGGTTGTTACACACGGGATGGTGGTGTTTTTTACACACGGGATGTTGGGTTTTTACACAAAGGGATGGTGGTTTTTTACACACGGGATGTGGTAGTTGTTACACCCCGGGATGCTGGTAGTTGTTTCACACAGGATGGTGGGAGTTGTTACACACGGTTTGGGGGAGTTGTACACGGGAGGTGGTGGTTGTTACACACGGGATGGTGTAGTTGTTACACACGGGATGGTGGGAGTTTGTTACACACGGGATGATGGTTGGTTACACACGGGGATGGTGGTTGTTACACCGGGATGCTGGTAGTTGTTTTCACACGGGATGCTGGTAGTTGTAAAAACGGAGGGTGGTGGTTTTTACACACGGGATTGTGGTAGTTGGTTACACACGGGATGGTGTTAGTTGTTACCAAAGGGATGCTGGGTAGTTGTTACACACGGGATGTTGGTAGTTGTTACACACGTGATGGTGGTAGTTGTTACACACCGGGAGGTGGTGTTGTTACACACGGGTATTTGGTGTTTTTACAACACGGGATGGTGGTAGTTTTTACACATTGGGATGGGTTTTTGTTACACACGGATGCTGGTAGTTGTTACACACGGGATGTTGGTTGTTGTTACACACGGGATGTGGTAGTTGTTACACACGGGATGGTGGTGGTTGTTACAACGGGGTGGTAGTAGTTGTTACACAAAGGGATGGTGGTAGTTGTTACACACGGGATGCTGGTTTGTGTTAATACGGGTGGTGGGGTTGTTAACACGGGTGGTAGTGTTGTACACGGGATGCTTTGGGAGTTGTTACACAAAGGGGTGGTGGTGGTTGTTACAAACGGGATGGTTGGTAGTTGTTACACACGGGATGTGGTGTTGTTACACGGGATTGGTGTTACACACGGGATGGTTTGGGGGTTGTTACACACGGGATTGTGGTAGTTGTTTTCACACGGGATGCTGGTAGTTGTTTCACACGGGATGGGTGGTAGTTGTTTTCACACGGATTTGGGGGTAGTTGTTACACCAGGGATGGTGGTGGTTGTTACACACGGGATGGTGGAGTTTTTTACACACGGGTGGTGGTAGTTTTACACACGGGATGATGGTTGTTACACGGTGGTGGTTGTTACACACGGATGCTGGTAGTTGTTACACACGGGATGTGGTAGTTTTTTACACACGGGAGGTGGTGGTTGTTACAAAAGGATGTTTGGGAGTGTTACACACGGGATGGTGGTAGTTGTTACAACGGGATGGTGGTAGTTGTTACACACGGGATGGTAGTAGTTGTTACACACGGGATGCTGGTAGTTGTTACACACGGGATGGTGGTGGGTTGTTTTCACAACGGGATGTTGGTAGTTGTTACACACGGGATGGTGGTAGTTGTTACACACGGGATGTTGGTTGTTACCACGGGATGGTGGTTGTTACACACGGGATGTGGTAGTTGTTACACACGGGATGCTGGTAGTTGTTTCACACGGATGGTGGTAGTTGTTACACACGGGATGGTGGTTTGTTGTTACACACGGGATGGGGGTGGTTTGTTACACACGGGAAAGGTGGTAGTTGTTACACACGGATGGTGGTAGTTGTTTCACACGGGATGATGGGTTTTTACACACGGATGGTGGGTTGTTACACACGGGATGCTGGAGTTTTTTACACACGGGATGCTGGTAGTTGTTTACACACGGGAGGGTGGTGGTTGTTACAACGGGATTGTGGTAGTTGTTACACACGGGATGTGGTAGTTGTTCAACGGAGCCGGGAGTTGTTACACACGGGATGGTGGTAGTTGTTACACACGGGATGCTGGTAGTTGTTACACACGGGATGGTGGTAGTTGTTACACACGGGATGCTGGTAGTTGTTACATACGGGATGGTGGTGGTTGTTACACACGGGATGCTGGTAGTTGTTACACACGGGATAGTGGTAGTTGTTACATACGGGATGGTGGTGGTTGTTACACACGGGATGGTGGTAGTTGTTACACACGGGATGGTGGTAGTTGTTACACACGGGATGGTAGTAGTTGTTACACACGGGATGCTGGTAGTTGTTACACACGGGATGGTGGTGGTTGTTACAAACGGGATGTTGGTAGTTGTTACACACGGGATGGTGGTAGTTGTTACACACGGGATGTTGGTTGTTACACACGGGATGGTGGTTGTTACACACGGGATGCTGGTAGTTGTTACACACGGGATGCTGGTAGTTGTTTCACACGGGATGGTGGTAGTTGTTACACACGGGATGGTGGTAGTTGTTACACACGGGATGGTGGTGGTTGTTACACACGGGATGGTGGTAGTTGTTACACACGGGATGGTGGTAGTTGTTACACACGGGATGCTGGTTGTTACACACGGGATGGTGGTTGTTACACACGGGATGCTGGTAGTTGTTACACACGGGATGCTGGTAGTTGTTACACACGGGAGGGTGGTGGTTGTTACACACGGGATGGTGGTAGTTGTTACACACGGGATGCTGGTAGTTGTTACACACGGGATGGTGGTAGTTGTTACACACGGGATGGTGGTAGTTGTTACACACGGGATGCTGGTAGTTGTTACACACGGGATGCTGGTAGTTGTTACACACGGGATGGTGGTGGTTGTTACCCACGGGATGCTGGTTGTTACACACGGGATGCTGGTTGTTACACACGGGATGCTGGTTGTTACACACGGGATGCTGGTTGTTACACACGGGATGCTGGTTGTTACACACGGGATGCTGGTTTTTACACACGGGATGCTGGTTGTTATACACGGGATGCTGGTTGTTACACACGGGATGCTGGTTGTTACACACGGGATGCTGGTTGTTACACACGGGATGCTGGTGGTTTAAGAAACTCTAAATAATAATAAATAATAATAATAATAATAATAATAATAATAATAATAATAATAATAATAATAATAATAATAATAATAATAATAATTATTATTATTATTATTTTTATATATTATTATTATTATTATTATTATTATTATTATTATTATTATTATTATTATTATTATTATTATATTGAAGAGGCAAACTGCTCCAGTTCGCAACTTGTGTGTTTTTTACAAAGTATGTTCATGTGTTTCTCTTGTTAAAAGCAAAAAAGATGCATCAGGAAATATATATAAAAAAATAAGAGCTACATCTTAGATTTGGACAGAGTCTTTAATTAAAGTCATCTATTGTGGGTCAACAAAACAAGGGTGAATTATTGAGACACATTAATCGCTTAATGAAAGAGGATAAAGCAGGAGCCAGCAACACAGTGTTCGGTGCAGCGATGGTGAGGGGATGGTGATGGTGAGGATAGTGATGGATGTGATAATGGTGTGTTGTAGTGATGGTGAGGGTAATGTGATGAGGCTGCTGGCCTCACTACCCAAGACTTTTAAAAGATTTGGTGAGTTAGGTAAGTGAGTGAAGGGGTTAAATGGTGATGCGAGCAGTGAAAGGGAAGGGTTGACGGAGGGGGAGATAGGGAACGATTAGGGGGAGACGTGGGAAGTCAAAAGGGAGGTGAGGTGGTTGGTGTTACGTGGGAGGGGGGGTTAAGGCAAGATGGCACCATCGAAGAGATTGAGAGATTAAACCCCAGAGAGAGAGGGAGGGAGGGAGACCAACCTTGGCATCTCCGTCAGAAGACTTGGTATTACCTCTCGTGATTACACCCTGCCACCACCTTAATTTTCTAATTGCTTGAAGGAGAGCTGAGGGTCCCCAGGTTAATTAGTGTAATTTCCTCTTTCGTTATTACAGGAAGGCAGCTTCAGTTTTATTGTTAATTTCGGTGGAAACCAAGAGAATCTGATTAATTGAGCACCAGATTGATTGAAACCCAATTGATATGTAAATTGACAGGTTGAATAAAGCATGGATTGAGATCTGATAATTGTATAATCTGATTGAAAGTTGACTTGAACACTGATTGTTTAAAAAAACGACCTGAACACCTGATAACTTGATAGTTTAATGTTGTATAAACCTGATGATGACTTGAACCTTATGGTTTAAAAAAATATTTAAACGTCTTATAAATTATAGATTCATTTGATCAATGACCAAAAAAGTATCTCTATAACTAAGTTTAGATCTTTCCTTAGTGTATATTGTGATTAAAAAAAGCAACATTTACATTGATTAAACTGAAATATTGATAAAGAGAGTAGAATTACCATCATGGGTGTGGATATGTGTTAAGAAAGGTCAGACGTGTTCTTCACACGAGGGGCAGGGCAGTCCTGCCCTACCTACTTAGGAGCTGGCCATACTTATCCTCATCAGAAAGATAGCAAGTCACATAATGAGATTGTTACCAGCTCTGGTACACATGCGGGATGTCTGGGGAAGCATACCACGGGTCTGCTTCCTGGTCCTTTGCGTGTGTGCAAATACTCACAGAGTCACCCCCCAGCTCGCTGCCGCCCACGGACTCATCACCCCGCCCACCGTCGCCCATGGTAAGTATCTCTACAGTAGTCTCTTTCTTTATGTAGTCAGTCAAAGCTAAAATTGAGAATTCTTTCCCTGCTTAATGGGATTTTCATTTTCAGGCTACAAAACCTCATTTCAATGATATTTGGTAAGGATGAAAGTTGTACAGAAATTCGATTCGTAAGTTTTAACGGAGGAGTTGGGTTTCGTATTGTACGTATTTATGTCACATGTTGAAGAAAGTTGATGTATTTCTACTGAATAGGAGGCATTTCGTAGTATTTATTGTTATGCGACAGTACTGTCTTCCATTTTCTTTCTATACAGATCGTCAACTTTAGACATTGTTTTCCTCTCCATCTGGGGAACTACGGGAATTTCAAATATTCAGGTTTTAGGTGCGGGTGATAACCTTTACCAGATAAGCACATCTGTCATTCTAAGCATCCCCGTGTAAACGGGGATGATCTCCTGTGGCTACCCCGTGCATCTCCGCAACCAGCAGGGGGTGAATTATTTAGCTGGGGTTGTCAGAGTGTCTCTGGGGCGTGCTGCCTGCTTCACATCGGTGCCACACGTGGTTACTTAGTCTCTGAGGCGTGCTACCTGTCCCAACCCGGTCCTACACTTGGTCACTTAGTCTCTGGGGCGTGATACCTATCTCACCTCGGTGCCACACGTGGTTACTTAGTCTCTGAGGCGTGCTACCTGTCCCAACCCGGTCCTACACTTGGTCACTTAGTCTCTGGGGCGTGATACCTTTCTCACCTCAGTGCCACACGTGGTTACTTAGTCTCTGGGGTGTGCTACCTGTCTCTCTCACCCTGTTCCCACACGTGGTTACTCAGCAATGTTCAAGTTCCCGGGAGACGAAGGGAGCGTAGTTTATGGTATTAAGTGACAGGAAAGAATCATCACAGATAAAGTTGGAGCGGTGAATGGGGAAAGGAATTGTGGAGAGAGAGAGAAGGCAGGATAAAGGTTACAGTTAGCGGTAAAGGTAGAAGTGAATCTATATTGTAACATTTCACAATCTTCCATTAAGGTAATTACCACCCATATTCTGAGAAAATTTGTCTGTGCTGCAAGAACAATAAGCTGGAGCAAATGTGTCAGGTACCTCTTACAAATTACATTTTTCTCAAAACACATGTAACAGGAACATGGGAGAGAGGAGCTTACGACGACGTTTCGGTCTCACTTGGACTTTGTAAATGGTTCAAGTCGGACCGAAACGTTGTGGTAAGCTCCTCTCTCTCCTATTTGCGGGGTTATTTGTGTATTGTTCCAGTCACGGTATTGTGACCTTCTGTTCTACATGATTACGTTTTATTTTACTCAGATTAGATTAAACTTTTGTTTGTCGTCGCTGAGATTGATGTGATTCTTAGAAACTTGAAGATTATCTTTCCTGCTTTATAAGTTAGAAATTTTGCCTTATTTTAGGAGCATTGTTATCGAAGTTGACAGTTTTTTTTATTTCCAAACCCGTAGAAACCATATTTTGATTTTTTTTTTTATTGCCTTGGGGATTTTGTCAGTTATACGAGAGAGAGAGAGAGAGAGAGAGAGAGAGAGAGAGAGAGAGAGAGAGAGAGAGAGAGAGAGAGAGAGAAAGAGAGACAGGAAAATACAAAGTTTGGAAAATAAATGACAATCAATACAGGGAACAAAATGCTAAAACAAGAATTAATTGACTTAAATATTTTGTGAATTCTATAACTTTAAGTTTTAAGTGGAAAAAAATAAAGAAAATACAAAAAAAAAAAAAAATGGAAAAAAAAATTAAAAAAAAAATCAGTTTTTTTGCTTGATGAAAATAATATGAAGATATTAATGAGAAAATACTTAAAAATGCATTAATATTATAATATTTACATAAAAATGCTGAGAAAATATTATTACGAAATGTTTTTTTTTAAGTTGCTGAAACATTAGAAGGTGAGGTGAAGGTGAGTGGGAGGCAGCCCGAGGAGTGAAGGTGAGTGGGAGGCAGCCCAAGGAGTGAAGGTGAGTGGGAGGCAGCCCAAGGAGTGAAGGTGAGTGGGAGGCAGCCCAAGGAGTGAAGGTGAGTGGGAGGCAGCCAGAGGAGTGAAGGTGAGTGGGAGGCAGCCCGAGGCGTGAAGGTGAGTGGGAGGCAGCCCGAGAGGAAGGTGAGTGGGAGGCAACCCGAGAGTGAAGGTGAGTGGGGGCAGCCCGGAGTGAAGGTGAGTGGGAGCAGCCCGAGGAGTGCAAGGTGAGTGGGAGAGCGAGGAGTAAAGGTGAGTGGAGGCAGCCCGAGGAGTGAAGGGAGTGGGAGCATCCAGGAGTGGAAGGTGAAGGGGGAGGCAGCCCAAGGAGTGAAGGTGAGTGGGAGGCAGCCCAAAGGAGTGAAGGTGAGTGGGGGCAGCCAGAGGAGTGAAGGTGATTGGGAGGCAGCCCGAGGAGTGAAGGTAAAGTGGAGGCAGCCCGAGAAATGTGAAGTGAGTGGGAGGCAGCCGGAGTGAAGGTGATGGGAGGCAGCCCGAGGAGTGAAGGTGAGGGGGAAAGGCAGCCCGAGGAGTGAAGTTTGAGTGGAGGCAGCCGAGGAGTGAAGGTGAGGGGGTAGGCAGCCCGCAGGAGTGAAGGTGAGTGGGAGGCAGCCAGAGAGTGAAGGTGAGTGGGAGCAGCCCGAGGAGTGAAGGTGAGTGGGAGGAAAGCCGAGGAGTGAAGGTGAGTGGGAGGCAGCCCGAGGAGTGAAGGTGAGTGGGAGGCAGCCCGAGGAGTGAAGGTGAGTGGGAGGCACCCGAGGAGTGAAAGGTGAGTGGGAGGCATGCCGAGGAGTGAAGGTGAGTGGGAGGCAGCCCAAGGGGTGAAGGTGAGTGGGAGGCAGCGGAGGAGTGAAGGAGAGGGAGGCAGCCGGAGGAGTAAAGGGTGAGTGGAGCAGCCCGAGGAGTGAAGGGAAGGAAAGGCAAAACCGAGGAGGAAGGTGAGTGGGAGCAGACAGGAGTGAAGGTAGTGGGAGCAGCCGAGAGTGAAGGTGAGTGGGAGGCAGCCCGAGGAGTGAAGGTGAGGGGAGAGCCAAGGAGTTGAAGGAGATGGGAGGCAGCAGAGGAATGAAGGTGAGTGGGGGGCAGCCAGAGGAGTGAAGGTGAGTGGAGAGCAGCCCGAGAGTGAAGGTGAGTGGGAGGCAGACAGAGGAGTAAAAGGTGAGTTGATGAGGCAGACAGAGGAGTGAAGGTGAGTGGGAGGCAGACAGAGGAGTGAAGGTGAGTGGGAGGCAGCCCGAGGAGTGAAGGTGAGTGTGAGCAGACCGAGGATGAAGGTGAGTGGAGGCGCCCGAGGAGTGAAGGTGGGTGGGAGGAAAGCCCGGGGAGTGAAGGTGAGTGGGAGGCAGCCCAAGGAGGAAAGGTGAGTGGTAGGCAGCCAGAGGCAGTGAAGGTGAGGGGAGGAGCCAAGGAGTGAAGTGAGTGGAGGCAGCCCGAGGAGTGAAGTGAGTGGGAGGCAGACAGAGGAGTGAAGGTGAAGTTGGAGGCGCCAGAGGATGAAGGTGAGTGGGAGGCAGCTAGAGGAGTGAAGGTGAGTGGGAGGCAGCCCGAGGAGTGAAGGTGAGTGGGAGGCAGCCCAAGGAGTGAAGGTGAGTGGGAGGCAGCCAGAGGAGTGAAGGTGAGTGGGAGGCAGCCAGAGGAGTGAGTGGGAGGCAGCCCGAGGAGTGAAGGTGAGTGGGAGGCAGCCCAAGGAGTGAAGGTGAGTGGGAGGCAGCCAGAGGAGTGAAGGTGAGTGGGAGGTAGACAGAGGAGTGAAGGTGAGTGGGAGGCAGCCAGAGGAGTGAAGGTGAGTGAGAGGCAGCCCGAGGAGTGAAGGTGAGTGGGAGGCAGATAGAGGAGTGAAGGTGAGTGAGAGGCAGACAGAGGAGTGAAGGTGAGTGGGAGGCAGACAGAGGAGTGAAGGTGAGTGGGAGGCAGCCCGAGGAGTGAAGGTGAGTGGGAGGCAGCCCGAGGAGTGAAGGTGAGTGGGAGGCAGACCGAGGAGTGAAGGTGAGTGGGAGGCAGCCCGAGGAGTGAAGGTGAGTGGGAGGCAGCCCGAGGAGTGAAGGTAAGTGGGAGGCAGCCCAAGGAGTGAAGGTGAGTGGGAGGCAGCCAGAGGAGTGAAGGTGAGTGGGAGGCAGCCAGAGGAGTGAAGGTGAGTGGGAGGCAGCCCGAGGAGTGAAGGTGAGTGGGAGGCAGACAGAGGAGTGAAGGTGAGTGGGAGGCAGCCAGAGGAGTGAAGGTGAGTGGGAGGCAGCTAGAGGAGTGAAGGTGAGTGGGAGGCAGCCCGAGGAGTGAAGGTGAGTGGGATGCAGCCCGAGGAGTGAAGGTGAGTGGGAGGCAGCCCAAGGAGTGAAGGTGAGTGGGAGGCAGCCAGAGGAGTGAAGGTGAGTGGGAGGCAGCCAGAGGAGTGAGTGGGAGGCAGCCCGAGGAGTGAAGGTGAGTGGGAGGCAGCCCAAGGAGTGAAGGTGAGTACGAGGCAGCCAGAGGAGTGAAGGTGAGTGGGAGGTAGTCAGAGGAGTGAAGGTGAGTGGGAGGCAGCCAGAGGAGTGAAGGTGAGTGGAGGCAAGACAGAGGAGTGAAGGTGAGTGGGAGCAGCCCGAGAGTGAAGGTGAGTTTGAGGCAGACAGAGGAGTGAAGGTGAGGGGGAGGCAGCCCAAGGAGTGAAGGTGAGTAGGAGGCAGCCAGAGGATGAAGTGAGTGGGAGGTAGACAGAGGAGTGAAGGTGAGTGGGAGGCAGCCAGAGGAGTAAGGTGAGTGGGAGGCAGACTGAGGAGTGAAGGTGAGTGGGAGGCAGACAGAGGAGTAAGGTGAGTGGGAGGCAGACAGAGGAGTGAAGGTGAGTGGGAGGTAGACAGAGGAGTGAAGGTGAGTGGGAGGCAGCCAGAGGAGTAAAGGTGAGTGAGAGGCAGACAGAGGAGTGAAGGTGAGTGGGAGGCAGACAGAGGAGTGAAGGTGAGTGGGAGGCAGACAGAGGAGTGAAGGTGAGTGGGAGGCAGACAGAGGAGTGAAGGTGAGTGGGAGGCAGACAGAGGAGTGAA